TTTCAGGATTCATTTCCCTGGAAAATATGAAAATAAATAAACAACCACGTCTGATTTTGAAGAATTTTTCAGGGACATTCTGTGGCTAAAAAGTGTGTTGATGAAAACACGACAGTGCCTTAAGTTTATATAACAACAGATCCACTGAATTTACCTTGCAGATGAAGCTTCATACGGTTGTGTTCTGAGGCAAGGATTCGAGCGACACCTTGTAGCAACTAACCCCGTAACAACAAGTTGTCCCCGCACTCACAGTATTCACTTCCTGTTTAGCCTTTCACAATAAAACTGGATACAACAAAACAGATTGTACCACACGTACCATGCGTCCAACCTGTCGACACAATCTACGCGCACTGATTGCAGAAACTGAGCGCACAGATTAGTAATCCGTGCTCTCAGTTTAGTAATCCGTGCGCACAGATTGCAAAAACTGAGAGCACAGATTAGTAATCCGTGCTCTCAGTTTAGTAATCCGTGCGCACAGATTGCAAAAACTGAGAGCACAGTTTAGTAATAATCTGTTCGCTCAGTTTAGCAATCCGTGCACATGGATTTCCAGCGGCTGTTTTTTTTTTTTCTCCCACTGACCCCCCGGCGAGCTCCGTACGTTGCCATCAATTGTAAAACTTTTTTTTTTGTTGGTGTTGGACTAGATTTAAAACAAAAAAAAACTGCTGCCATGCGTGGACGGAGTTCAAATTCTGCATACAATTATCTGAATTTCTGAGAAGTGTTTGTCCTGGTCTCTGCAGGTGTCAAAGTAACCCTCTCAGCCCTCATTGATTGGAAGAACTTCAATGCTGGTGGACACAAAGTGGGAATGAGCTTTGAGCTGGAGGCTTAATGAAGAGCCTCCACCATCAGCACCACCATTTATGTAGCTTCTCCTCTCTGGACACTTCCCCTCCCCCAGTCGCACTTCTGATACACATTTCTGACAATAACTGTTGAGTTTGAAATTATGAGGTGGACCCTAAAACTGGTGGTGCGTGATTTTTATGACTGAAGTCTCATTATTTATTTCCTTGTAGGTCTTGGATGATGTTCTTAGTGTAAATGTGTAACGTTACAGCTGTTGTACCTTAAAGCATGTGAGAAAGAAAACATGGATGCAGAGCTTAAAGCCTGTTGCTTGGTTAAAAAGGGTGCAGTGTCTGTTTACATTTTTATTTCTATTAATTTGACATTGGATACTTCACTGAAACAGTCTATTTTCACATTAAAACATGGTTCTTGTAAGAATCTTCATGTCTGCTCAAATATGATAAGATAATGTAGTGGAATCTTCTGGTAGTTTTGGTAGTTTGCATTTTTACTGTTTTAATTTGTCTCAGCTCAGCTGTGCTGCAGAGTATTTTACATAGTGCAGGACTACTCAGCTGGCGGCCTGTGGTCTGGTGACTTCCATCTGGCCCACCAATGAGTTTTGAAAAAAAAAGATTTTTTTTTGTAGATTTTTTTTTTAAAGATAACATTTCTGTTACATGCTACAGTGTGACACCTACCATTAATGGGCAAACACACACACACACCTGAGCTGTTGGCTTTGAGTAACCATGTCCTCCAGAGTGATTTATTTGAATATCCCTGATGGAGTGGCTCCTAATGATGTAAACAAAGACTCCGTTTGCAAGTCTTTATTCAGTTCAGAGGTCGGATTTTGAAAGCTTGCGTACGCACAAATTGAGCCCAGAAACACTTTTCATGCAAAGGTTGTGATTTCTAAAAGCCAAACTTGGTGTAAAAATGTGCGGTGCCTCACGCCAGCTCTGACCCATGCGTACACTTTTGGAGCTGGGAAGCTGCGACACAGAAGGTGAAGAGAGGAATTACAGCCACACTGTGTAATGATCACTGTCAGATATTTAATTTCACTTCATAATCAAACTTAGATTTTAGATCAACTTTATCATCAGCTTTCTTAACAGTGTTATTTATGCTTCTGCTGGTGAACCATAAGGATCTTTGAAATAAAAAACCTTAATCTTAAATAAAAGTTCACACGTCTCCATCTCCTTCCTCCTCACGACCCTGACCCACAGACCCCTCCCCGACAAGAGACATTTCAACAGCACGACAGCAAAAGGCTCGGTTATAGTCACCCTTTGGGTGTGCGCTCCCCTCACCAGTGTGGATGTGTTTTAAAAGGTGTATATATATATACACTGCTCAAAAAAACAAAGGGAACACTTAACGCACGCTAACTCCAGATCTTAATCAATGAAATATTCGCATTGAGTACTTTGTTCTGTACAGAGTTGAATGTGCTTCACAAAAGTTTGATTTACTTGGATTTAGCGTGCGTTGTTTAAGTGTTCCCTTTATTTTTTTGAGCAGTGTATATAGATAGATAGATGTGTGTGTGTATATACAGTATATGTATTTATTTATTTATTTTTTGTGTACGCCATTTTCGTCGTTTGGCCGTACATTCCCTTTTAGTATGGTTTCCACACATTCCTTTATAAATGAGGCCCCTCATCTGTTCGGTTCTGCTCAGGTGTGTGTGTCTTCATCTCAGTGTGTCCCTCACTCTGAGGGTGTCAGTCTGGAGTGTGCTCAAATGCTGTCAAGTATTTCAGTTTTAAATAATTGACACATCAGATCTGTGCAGATACAGCAAATATAGCAGCTTGTTTTCTGTGTGCAGTGCCCTGAGACGACAACTGTTGTGACTAAAATAAACTGAATTGTATTGAAAGATTCCAATCTAACATTTAATGTTGGCCCACACATTTGAATTGTAAGTGTTTAATTTATTTGATGCATCTGATTGTGACTTTAAGGTATTAAATGTATTTTTTTTTCTGTCGTGTAGACACAGTACCTCACTTTTTCCCAAATGTACACTAAAACAATTCCAAAAATAAAGGAGGAGAAAATAATGTTTTGTCTTCTCATTTACTGTCACTTTTTTGGCCCAACCATCACAGGCAAAAAAGGACCCAGCATGCACCATCTGAACAATAAGAACTGAGCTGCAGACAGTAAAGAGCTGTTTGTAGTTTTACAGTGTACAGGGTTGCAATCTCTGCTCTTACAAAAATACAGGACAGCTAACCAGGGGCATGGTGTGGCACAGGGGTATTCAATTAAAATTTAAACAGGTCCAATCAGAGAAAATTTCTAAAAACCAAGGTCCATAAGATTATAATGTCCTACTATTTAGAGTTATATATGTATTTAAGTAGCTTAGTAGTTGTATCAACATCTGCACAAATTGATTTGCATATAAAATTTAATTAATTCAGTCTAATTCAAATACTTTTTCAATATTTATTGTAACAAAAAGATAAACATGAAATTCTAAAGTCTGATGTTTTATGTTCTCTTACTAAGTCAAAATAAACTAAACAATACATGACAACTGTGCATGTTGATTTGGTACATTTGTTCAAAACTTTGTTTAAAACTTTTATACTTTGTTACATATTGGCATTAAACATTGCCATTTTTAACAAGTGTTGCATTTCTGAACATGTGAGGCACACTGGTTTAGTTCAGTGGGAACTATAAAGATAAATTACTCTGTCCATCCTGGATTAAATGCTCTGTTTTCGCTGTCCTTTTTTTATGATGCCACTATTAGTTTTTTCTGTTTTTTTATTGTATTTTTTGTTTTGTATTTGTTTCTGTTAACTCTCCAGTTTTTCTCCCCTTCTCCATCTCAACTATCAGTTTTCTCCATCCTTTCTCACCTGTCTGTATATTTCCTTCTCTATGCCTGTTTCTCTCCCCTTCTCCACCCTTTCCTCTGTCTCCAACACTGGACCACTACTGTAAAGACTGCAAAACCTGTGCATGTAACTGGTTTATGCTGCGTTCAGACCGAACACATTTTGTACATCAAAAATGTGTCCAATGACTCAAGTTGGACTCTTGTGCACTTTGAGGTCAGACGCTCGTCAAAATCACTCTATTCACACATGAAGATGCACGTTGACAGGAGCCTTCTTTACTGTCTCTGTACAACGACAGATGAAAATGAGAGAGTGGCATGGCTTTATTTACTGACAGCCAGAGGACGTTGTTGTTGGGCACCTTGGATTCACCAGATAACTCAGAGGAGTTCAGAGTTTGGTGAGTTTCACCGCTCCAGGAGCTGTGTGCTGAGTGTTGCATTCAGCACATTGTTTTGTCCTGAGTACAGTTTGACTGGGTTGCTGATCCCCGTCGATGCCCATATCTTCTGCCAGGACATCAACTACAGCTGCTTGATTTCAGCTGGAGAGCTCCTCATCTCTCAGTTTAGTGGGCATCATTCAGGAGATTATCCTGTGGGAAAATGTGCCACTACGTCACACATGGCTAGATGTGGCTGACACTCCCATGTCTAACTGCTAAATTTCAGATTTTCCACCTGAAGTGTCTGCCTCTTTGGATGCGCTTCATGCATCAAATGCTTCAAAACGCACAGCCACACTTCTCAATGCCCCACCATAGATTTGTATGTAAATGACCCATGACCCAACACTCAAATCTCGTCAGATCTGAATGCAGCATTACATGCGCCCATTCAAGTTTTAAGTGGTGATCTCTGTTTTGGCATTGGGTATGGGTCCGGACCCAGGTCTGCCTATTGGTGACCCCTGGTGTAGCGTTTGTGTGGATGTAAAACAGAAGGGTGACACTGTTCTGCAGCCTGTCACACTTTTACCAAGTTGGGGGCATCAATCAGATTTAACTGACGATATTTATTCACCTCTCATTTAATCAGACTCTTACACCAAACTGTGACATCGTTAGATACCCAGGTGAAAAAGAAGTGCGCTTAAAGGCATTTAAAGTATATTACAAATTCAAATATGCTTATTGTACATATATATTTCTAACATGTAGCAAGTTCGAGCAAGTGTATTAAAAATATATTCTTTTGTGCTTTAACATACTTTTTAAAATACTTAAATTTGTAATGAATACATGCTTAAATACACTTTTAATAAGTATGCTCGAATATTAGCATATTTTAAACAATATTATAGACTATTAATTTAAAATTAATTTATTAATCTCTTTAGAAACACTATTTTATGATGACTTTCAGGCAATACATTGTTAAAGTATTACACTTATATTACACACATATTGTGTTGCTGTGTTTTGTTTCTCTCCTTTTTGCAGGTGTGGAGTCAAATGTGTTGTCTTGTGTTTTCTTAATGCATCTTCTCATATCTTTTTGTTTCCCTTTCAATCTCTTCCTTCGCTTGTCTCCTTTTTCTCTTCTTTGTTTGCTTTTTTTCAGTCCCTGTGTCCGTTATAATGATCTAGTCCCTAAACAATTTATAGTAAAGGTTTAAATGTAAATCAAGTGGAGCATCATGGTGTAATGCCATTATGCTGCACTTGTGTAAGCAAAACTGTTGGGCTTCATTTGGACACTCAGACATCAACTCTGAGTTTCACATTCACATTTACAGGACACGGTAAAAAAAAAAAAAAATCATCCATCCTTTATATATACCAGCAGGGGCTGGTATATATATCCTGTCAGGGGCGCAGGGATTACTGGTGCCCCTATCCAGCAGTCACAGTTTGGTACACCCATGTTGGAAGTCCATCACGATCCAGTAATCTAGATTATAGAATAAGAAACACTTATTTTCCACCCTGTTTTAATCTGTTCCACCCTGTTATAATCTGTTCCACCCTGTGACGTTCTAATCCCCCTTGTTAAAAAATATTATATTTTTCAAATAATTTAACAAACATTAGGTACTGTGAGACTTTGTCTGCCATGTTGGGAAGCAAGGACTATTAAATGCACTTAAAGGCAGTGGTGGGCAGCACTAATCTAAATATTAGTTGCACTAACTCTAAAGCACTAACTCAACTATTCAAGTCCCCTAATTCTAAAGCACTAACACGTTGGAAAAATTAGTGAAAGCTAATTCTAAAGCACTAATATAACCCAGTTGACATATGGAACATTCTTCAGAGTCAACATAAGACAATATTTATTGTGTGCAGAATGTTGTCACTTAGTGCCCTTGCCGGGCCAAATGGGAGTCACCTGCAGGCCACATGTGGCCCGTGGGCCTTGAGTTTGACACGCGACCTTGTAGATGTGACGCGCATATGAACAAAATGTATGACAGCTTTCACCCTCAACTGTGAACAATAATGTTGATCAATAATATTTAAAGACCTCAGTTAGTGCTTCTAAATTTAGCCCATAAAAGTAGCAACCAATGAATTTAAAAATAGCAAAAGCCCTAATCAGGAAATTAATCCCCGTGTTAGTGCTTTGGTGCTGTAGGGCAGTGTTTCCCAAAGTTGGGGTTGGGACCCAAAGTGGGGTCCTGAAACATCCAAGGTGGGGTCCTGAAAAGATTTTCTGAATTAATGACATTTTTGCCTTAGTTGTTACAAAGGAGTGAGGTTAGTGTATTTAAAATGGATAAATGTAGTATAA